TATGTATATGTATATATGTACATGTGTGAGTGTGTATGTATGTGTGTGTGTGTGTATGTATATATATATATAGCCTAATGTAACATAATATCATAGCCTAATATTAACATAATATATAATAGCCTAATATAACATAACATCACACAATATAATTACCTAATATAATTCTATTATATGATGTGATATAATGTCATATACATGTATTATAAATGTAATTAACATAAATATAACAAAAACCTAACATATTAATATAATGGATAAGCTTCTTTCAGTGGTTTTATAATAGAATAATGTATTTATGATTACAATTGTTTCATAATCTAGTTTAGTTGACCTATGATATGTGATAGTAATATAACAATACAATATAAGGTAATATAACAATACAATTAGTATGTTTTATATATATATAACATATAATAAAAGCCTAATATAGCCTAATGTAACACCTAATATAATATTAACATAATATAATATGTAACAACAACCTGATATAACACAATATAATAGCCTAATATAATTGTATTATATGATGTGATATAATGTAATACATCATATAATATAAATATAATAAATGCTAATATAACCTAATACCCTAATATAACTGCCTAATATAAAATTAACATAATATATAACAACAGCCTAATATAACATATTAGCCTAATATAATATTATATGATGTGATGTGTTGTAATGTAATGTAATGTATCATATATAAATATAATGTAACATAATAAACAGCCTAATATACATATAATTATAATCTATATATATATAAAAGCAAAAGACCACTCGCGCATCATCAAAAATTTCCAGAAACATAAAGCCTACAAACTTGAAATTTAGCACGTATGTTCCTCTTGGCTTCTAGGTGCTCACTAAGAAAGGATTTTTTCAAATGACCATTAGAGCATTAGTGTTTTGTATATTGCTATTAACACACTCTAACAGAGTAACATAATATAATTAATAACAGCCTAACATAATACAGTACAATACATAACAAGTACAGTATTTTCAATATTAAGCAAAAATCAAGAACATAGAGGCGCAACCTGAAACTGACAGGAAGGAAGTTCAAAAGTCATGTTAGAAAGTATCGCTTTACAGAAAAAGCAGCTGAAGCTTGGAACCAATTTCTGGTAGAGATAGTAGGTCAATCGATCAAAAACTGAGTTTAAACATGCTTGGGATAAATACACGTTCATCACAACATCACATCTGACAAAAATTATATGTGTGTGTGTGTTCATATGCATACATACATGCATACTTTTTAATTTAAAAGAAAACAAAAAAACAGGTAAAGTCAAAGGGCAAATAAACTTGATGGACCGACCATTAGATCTTTTTCTTATTTTTAAAAAGTCCTATAGTTTTCTTTCCAATATCTTTTTTTCCAGGGCCGATTACTGGAAATCTCAGCCCAAGAAATTCTGTGATTATTGCAAGTGCTGGATAGCAGACAACAAACCGGTACGATGGATTTCTGATAAAATCTAAGTTTCTTGGATTTGGATTATAACATTTTAAATTTAAGTTTCATCAGAGGGTCAACATTTGATATGCTGTTTGTTTCCTAGCCTTTTTCCTGTGGCTGGCGGAATAGAATAAATGCAGGCAATATAAACTAATGCCTGTGTGTTTAATGTTTTATATCTTCAGATTTAGTTGGATCTGGATTGTTGGGGTTAAATTTGGAGCCTTGCTTGTTCTTTTCAGTGACACCTTTATTTAAGAGCTGAAAAACTCCTCATACAAATTTATACGGTTTAGGGCATCTTTTAAAATCACCTAAAGTGCCTGCAGGAATAAAATATCATTGATTTGATTGCAGTTGAAACCATTCCTGGTCAGTTTCTTTGACGGGATAGACGTTCTCCAAACAGGATTTGAAGGATTTGAAATATTTACCTCAGCTGCCTCAGGGAGATGTGCTTAGCTTCAGTATTTACACATAGTTGTAAAGTTTAAATTTGTCCCTAGTTTAGGAACATCTCCTTTTTCTCTTTTACAGAGCATCGATTTCCACGAAAGAGGAAAGAACCACAAGGAAAATGTGGCGAAGAAAATTAGCGAGGTAACGCAAAGTCACCTCCTTCAAGCTGAAGGGAATGTTGTTGCTTGAAACCCTGCGTCACGCATTCCTGCTCCCTCCTCTTTTTAAATTACAGATTAAACAGAAAAGCTTGGACAAGGCGAAAGCGGACGAAAAAATGGCAAAGGACTTTGCAGCCATGGAGGAAGCGGCCACGAAGGCTTATCAAGAAGACTTGAAAAGGCTCGGATTGAAGGCAGGTAGGACCCCGATGCTATCAAACAGAAGAACCATCATCCCCAATCCTTCGCTTCTTTCCAGTAGCTTCCCTTGACACGAACGTAAAGAGTCCATAAAAATGCAGGTAGTCCTCAACTTGCAACTGTTTCTTTGGTGACCGTTTGACTTTGGTACTGAAATTATCTGGGTCAACTTTGGGATGATCAGAGATGGCGAATGCCATTCAGTTTATGTGTGTTATGACCCAGCTCCCTAAACATGACACACCCTCTGTATTTAAATCAAGGATTCCTTTATTTAGGAGCGCCAGGACCCCAGCAAAATGTTTCTCTCTCACACAGCAGGCTAACAAGTCCATCCGGCTGGGAGATGATTAGTTGTCTGTCACATCTATTCATTTCTGTCCCCTGCCTTTTATTCCCAGAGCTAGTGGTGGGGCTTTGCTAGCAGCAGTGGCTCTTTCGTCCCAAGGACCGGCCCATAGATTTCCACTGCTCTCCTCTCCTCTTCCTTCTGCGCATCCAGGCACTGGGCCCAGCTATTCCTCCTCTTCCTAATCAGCCACCTCCAGACCCTGGGGCTGTTGACTCTCCATTTGAGGGCTGACGGACAACCCAGGCTCCGTCTCTCTCTCTCTGCCTCCCTCACCCCCCTCTCCATCTGTCTCTCTCTCTCTCTCTCTCTCTCTCTCTTTCTGTCTCTCTCTACCTCGGAGCTCTCAGGTTGTCTTGATGCTGACTCCCATGCTGCCGCCGCCTCTGATTTGGCTGCTGGGGGTGGGGGTGGCCAATAGGCCACAACAAGGACTTATGACTGTTTTTCACACTTAACGACCAGTGCAGCCTCCTTGTGGTCACGGGATCAAAATTCAGCTGCTTAGCGACCGGCATGTACTTACAACAGTTGCCGTGTCCTATGGTCACATGATCCCCTCAGACAAGCCAAGGCAACAGGGAAGCCCAATTCGCTTAACAAACTTGTAACTTACTTAACAACTGAAGTGACTCACTTAACAAACGTGGTAAAATGGGGCAAAACTCAGTGGACCAATGTCTCACTTAGCAACAGAAGTTTTGGGCTCAGTTGTGGTCATAAGTCGAGCAGTGCCTGAGATACTATTCCAGTTTTGGTATCATTTGCAGGTAGCACCCTTACTAGCTACACATGACTTAAGTCTTAAGAAAAGATCCATGGGTCTAGAACAGTGGTGGCAAATCTTTTTGTTGTGTGCACAAAGGCGCAGGCATGCCGGCACCCACAATGCAATGCACCCTGCGCATGCGTGCACAGCATCCACGCCCCGCCCCCTTACCTGCACTGCACATGCACGCGCCTCCCAGCTGATTTTGGTCCTGTTTGAAGCCGTTTTCACCCTCCCGGAGTCTCGAGGGAAGCCTCTGCAGCCTCAGGAGGCTGAAAAACGGGCCTTCTGGAAATACCGGAGGGCCACTGCAGCCCAGGGGAGGCCGTTTTTGCCTTCCCGGAGACTCGAGGGAAGCCTTTGGAGCCCCAGGAGGCTGAAAATGGGCCCATTTCAGCACTTCTGGTATTTCCGAAAGGGCCGTTTTTCGCCCTCCTGCGGCTGCAGAGGCTTCCCTCGAGCCTCCGGGAGGGCGAAAACAGCCTCAAACGGGATGAAAATCAGCTGGGAGGCGCAAGCATGCGCAGTGCAGATAAGTTTGGCTAGGGCTCTCATGCCCACACAAATGGCTCTGCGTGCCACCTGTGGCCCGCATGCCATAGGTTCGCCATCACGGGTCTAGAAGAACTTGGTTGGTTGAATTATACCATGTTCCACTTGGCACCCCTTGCTAGAGTTTCAGAGATTTGAAATCGAACGTTCAATATTCCAGTGGTCGTGGGGGTTGTTTAGCTGTGAGGAATTTTTTCTTAGAATTTCTTAGGTGGGCCTTAAAAATGTACTGCTCTGTATCTCAGAATCCGTAGAAACGCCTTCCTTGCTGGTAAAGCAGGAAGAAAAGAAGGAGAAAAAAGAGAAAAAAGAAAAGAAGAGAAAGGAAAAACAAACGAAGGAGGTTTCATCCAATGGAACAAAGGAATGGGTGTGCGGATATTCTCCGGAAGGCTACATCTATTATTACAACACGAAATCTGGAGGTACATTTGCAGCTAAACTCCTTTTATAAATCACATATCCAGGAACCATAGAAGTTGCCGTCAAAACACAACACAAAAGTAATATTTAGCAATAGATTTCTCTCTTTATTTTACAATAGCCATTTATTCTTCCTCTCTATATCCTTTTATTATATATCACCAAGCGACCAGGAATAGCCAACACTCCAAAAGATAGGCTTAAGATACAGAAAGATCTTGACAGACTTGAACATTGGGCGCTATCTAACAAAATGAAATTTAAGGGTGGAAAATAGTAAGGTTCTACATTTAGGCAAGAAATACAAAATGTACACATACAGTATACGTCATACCTCGCTCAATAGTAGTAACTGTGAGAGGGATCTTGGGAGTCGTAAAGGACGATCATTAAATAGGAGCCAGCAGTTTGCAGCAACTGCTAAAAAAGCCAACGCAGTTCTAGGCTGCATAAACAGGATAGAATCAAGATCACAGCCTTCTAAAGTGTTAATACCACTTTGTAATGCCTTGGTAAGGCCACACTTGGAATACTGCGTTCAGTTTTGATCACCGCGATGTTAAAAAGATGTTGGGACTGTAGAAAGAGTGCAGAGAAGAGCAACAAAGATGATTAGGGAATTGGAGGCTGAAACATAAGAAGAATGGTTGCAGGAACTGGATATGTCTAGTTTGATGAAAAGAAGGACTAGGGGAGACAGGATAGCAGTCTTACAATATCTCAAGGGCTGCCCCAGAGAAGAGGGAGTCAAGCTATTCTCTAAGGAGAAATTTCCTGACAGTTAGAACAATGAATCAGTGGAACAACTTGCCTCCAGAAGTTGTAAATGCTCCAACACTGGAAGTTTTTAAGAAGATGTTGGACAACCATTTATCTGCAGTGGTGTAGGGTTTTCTGACTAGGCAGGGGGTTGGACTAGAAGACTTCCAAGGTCCCTTCCAACTCTCTATATCTATATCCAACTCTCTATATCTATATCCAACTATATCTAATACTGCATGAATGTTGTTTTTTGTTCTGGCTGGATCCCAAATTAAGGTCTTTTTTTTTATTCTATTATTATTAAGAATCACAGTGGGAGAAACCAGAAGGATTTCAGGACACCACTTGCAATTCTCAACAGGTAACTAAATGCTTATTTATTATTATAGCTGTTGCAAAAAATGTGTCTTCATTTTTTTTAAACGTATTCTCAAATTCACTGAAAAATTAGTTGACTTGCATCTCTTCTGAATGGATAGGATTGTTGTTAGTTGCGAAGTCGTGTCCGACCCATCGCGACCCCATGGACAACGTTCCTCCAGGCCTTCCTGTCCTCTACCATCTTCTGGAGTCCATTGAAGCTCACGCCGACGGCTTCAGGGACTCCATCCAGCCACCTCCTTCTCTGCCATCATCCCCTTCTTCTTCTTCTTTTGCCCTCCATCGTTCCGAGCATTCGGCTATTCTCCAGGGAGTCCTTCCTTCCTTCCTTCTCATGAGGTGGCCAAAGTCTTTGAGTTTCAACTTCAGGATCTGGCCTTCTAAAGAGCAGTCAGGGTTGATGTCCTCTAGGATGGACTGGTTGCAGTCCAAGAGACTCGCAGGAGTCTCCTCCAGCACCAGAGTTCCAAGGCCTCCATTCTTGGGCGCTCCGCCTTCCTTACGGTCCAACTTTCACGGCTGTGAATTGCAACCGGGAAAACCACAGCCTTGACTCTACGCACTTTGGTTGGCAAGAGGATGTCTCTGCTTTTGAGTAGGCTGCCTAGCTTTGCCATAGCTTTCCTCCCCAGGAGCAAGCGTTCTTTTCAGTTTTTGGCTGCAGTTCCCATCTGCGGTGATTTTGGAGCCCAAGAAAATAAAATCTGTCACTCCTTCCATTTCTACTCCACCTCTTTGCCAGGAATTGAGAAGGCCGGATGCCATGATCTTAAGTTTTCCTAATGTTGAGTCTCAAGCCCACTTTTGCGCTCTCCTCCTTCGCCCGCATCGAGAGGCTCTTTAGTTCCTCTTCACTTTCTGCCATTAGAGTGGCATCATCTGCAGATTTGAGGTTGTTGATATGTGAGGATATGATTAGGAATACGATTATCTGAAGAACACATTTATCAGCCAGAAGTCTCTAACGTGTACATTCATTTAACAGCATTATTTCCAATAGTTAGGGGGACCACTGGATTGGATTCTCCAATAATCGAATTTTATTATTTCCAAGAAGGAAGGAAGCTTCCATTGGCTAATTAGGAGGTTTCACTTTTAAATTTAACAGATAATCACAGTTGGAAGGGACCTTGTAGGTCATCTAGTCCAATCCCCCACCCAAGCGGGAGACCCTACACCATTTCTGACAGATGGCAGTAGTCTCTTCTTGAAAGCCTCCAGTGATGAAGCTTCCACAACTTCTGAAGGCAACTTTTGTTCCATGGGTTGATGGCTCTCCCTGTCAGAAAATTTCTCCTTATTTCCAGGTTGAATCTCTCCTTGTTCAGTTTCCACCCATTGTTCCTTGTCTGGCCTTTATTCCTTGTCTCACCCCTTCCTCTTTGTGGCAGCCCCTCAAATATTGGAAGACTGTTCTCATGTCTCCCCTGGTCCTTCTCTTCACTAGACTAGACAGGCCCAGTTCCTGCAACCGTTCTTCATGCTTTAGCTTCCAGTCCCCTAAAAATCATCCTGGTTGCTCTTCTCTGCACTTTTTCTAGAGTCTCAACATCTTTTTTCTAATGTGGTGACCAAAACTGGATGCAGTACTCTAGGCGTGGTCTTACTAAGGCTTTATAGAGTGTTATTAGTACCACACTTGATCTTGATTGTATCCCTCTGTTAATGCAACTTAGGATTGCATTAGCTTTTTTGGCGGCGGCTGCACATTGCTGGCTCCTATTTATCTGGTTGTGCATTAAGACTCCAAGATCCCTCTCCCAGTTACTGCTGTTAAGCCTTAATAAACGTATCTTTATGGGACCTCTGAGGAGGTAAAATAAAATCAGGATACAATGAGACATAGATCAGGCTTTAATTATCCTTTATGGCCTGGTTGACTTAGCCTTTGTTTTTTTCAGGAAGCTGTTTGGATAGAAGGGACCGACGACAGCGGTCGCACCTATTACTACAACAAGGAGACTGGAGGTGAGAGGTTTTACTCGGGCCGCTACTCAAGGCACAGAGCCAGATCAATTAGTGGTTTTTTTCTGTGGGTAAAACAGAAAGGCGATGAAACACGTTTGGAATTTTGAGAATTTGCCTAAATGCTCTCACAAAATGGCTCCCACAATGGATGTGGCCCATCCAATCTTCCTATGCCCCGAAATAATTTGTAGGAATGTTCACCTTCCTTCCTTTCCTCTCTCCCTTTCCTTCCCTTTCTCCCTTCCTTTCCTTTCCTTCCTTCCTTCCTTCCTTTCCTTCTTTCTCCTTTCCTTCCTTTCCTTCCTTCCCTTTCTCCTTTCCTTTCCTTCCTTTCATTCCCTTCCTTTTCTTCCTTTCCTCCCCTTTCCTTTCCTTCCCTTTCTCCCTTCCTTTATTTCCTTTCCTTTCTCCCTTTTCCTTCCCTTTCTCTCTTCCTTCTTTCCTTCCTTTTCTTCTTTCTCCTTTCCTTCCCTCCTTTCGTTCCCTTTCTCCGTTCCTTTCTTTCCTCACCTCCCTTTCCTTCACCCTTTCTCCCTTTCTTTTCCTTCCCTTTCTCTCTTCCTTCCTTCCTTTTCTTCTTTCTCCTTTCCTTTCCTTTCCTTCCCTCCTTTCGTTCCCTTTCTCCCTTCTTTTCTTTCCTCACCTCCCTTTCCGTTCCTCCCTTTCTCCCTTTATTTCCTTCCCCTTCTCCCTTTCTTTTCCTTCCTTTTTTCTCTTCCTTCCTTCCCTTTTCTCCTTTCCTTTCCTTCCTTCCACCTTTCATTCGTTCTCTTTAATAAACTATTTGTTCACTTCCCCCTGTCTCTCAAATATGTAGTCTTAAAACCTTACATCTGACACCGCTGCTTACTTTTAGGCATCAATATTCTACATTTATTGCATCGTTTACTTTATATATTGAGGCTCTGTTTTTAAAAGACTCTGTTTTTAAACTACATGAAATAACAGAAAAGAAGCTGCAGAGGTCCACCACTGATTTTTGATTGGGTCCAGCAATTTTAGTAGGGATCTAAGAGAACTTCTTTAGGTTAGTGAAATGTGAAACAAAACATTTATTTAATCTTATTAGTTTAGTCTCACTGAAACATACGTTAGGGCCTTTACGTGTTGGGTTTTATTTCTGATATTTCAGATTTTCAGAAAGCTCATTTCCAGACTGGTGACATAAACTTTTTTGCTATTACTTAGTATCAACGTGGGAGAAGCCTGAAGGTTTCGTATCTTTTTCAATAAATAATTCAGCTGAAAACTCTTCTGAAGAGATCAGCAAAAATGAATCCCAGAAGGTAATATATAAATATTAATACTGTATAATTTTTATATGTTTCCTACATTGGTCATCTTTGAATATTCCCCAGTTCCTTGATTGGGTATTGTTTATGCTTGATTGTTGGTCTAGTATTAATCTTGCTTTTAGTAACTATTTATCTGGGTGTTGATTGTTGGCAAGGTCTTTTTGTTTCCTTTTGGGTTTTTTTTTTGATGTCTCTTTTCAACGGTATGTAAACATTTTTTATCTCTACGTGCCTGTTGATAACTGTTTTGTCTGAGAGCCAGACTTTCACAAATTTTCTAGTGTTTTTGGACTAGGCTTGATCTCGGATATTCACAGTTTCCAATTGAAATTACACTTAAACCTGTCCATGTGTTGTGCAATTAAGTAAACTATCGCAACAAACATGCAGTTTCTGCAGTTGGGTAGCCTGAAAAGGAAGATCTGTCTATCATTATATTGCAGTTAGAGGCATAAAGACACGCAGCATATTTATAGCCTACAGTTACCATTCGTATAGCTACTAACTGTAGATTGCAGTTAGAGGCATAAAGATACACAGCTTATAGGTATCATTAGTAGCTATTACTAAGAATACTGCAAATTGTATCAGTAAAATTAGGGAGAGAAGCTTGAATAAATTCAAGGGAGTGGTTGAAAAAATGATTTTCTTATCTCCAAGATTGCATACTCACTGAATATAAAAATCCAAATATCTTAACTTGGGGTCCTTTTTTTTTTTCTCCCGAAGAATATAATATATTGTCCTAGTGGACAATCTCTTACAGAAAATATGAGCCAGCCATGTGCTACAGCTGCTAAAGAAGCCAACACAGTTCTAGGCTGCATTCACAGAGGGATAGAATCAAGATCACGTGAAGTGTTAATACCACTTTATAAGGCCTTGGTAAGGCCACACTTGGAATCCTGCACCCAGTTTTGATTGCCATGTAAAAACCATGTTGAGGCTCTATAGGAAGAGTGCAGAGAAGAGAAAACGGGATGATTAGGGGACTGGAGGCTCAAAACACATGAACAGTTGCTGGAACTGGGTATGTCTAGTTTGAGGAAAAGAAGGACTAGGGGAGACATGATAGCAGTCTTACAAAGCTAAGGCTGCCCCAAAGAAGAGGGAGTCAAGCTATTCTACAAAGCACGTGAGGGCAGGACAAGAAGCAACGTATGGAAACAAATCGAGGAGAGAAGCAACTTAGAACTAAGGAGAAATTTCTTGACAGCGACAACAATTAATCAATGGAATTTGATTGCCTCCAGAAATTATGAATGCTCCAACTCTGGAAGTTTTTAAGAAGAGGTTGGACAACCGTTTCTCTGACATGGTATAGGGCCGTGATGGCGCTACAGGTGGCACGCAGAGCCATTTGTGCCGGCACACGAGCCCCAGGCAAATTTACCTCGCTGCACATGCGCGTGCCTCCCAGCTGATTTTCGGCCCGTTTGAGGCCTTTTTCGGCCTGCCAGAGGCTTGAGGGAAGCCTCTGCAGCCTTTGCAGGCGGAAAAATAGGCCCATTTCGTCACTTCCTGTATTTCCGGAAGTGATGAAATGGGCCCATTTTTCAGCCTGCAGAGGCTTTACTTCAAGCCTCTAGCAGGCCAAAAAAGGCCTCAAATGGGCCGAAAATCAGCTGGGAGGCTCAGTGCAGGAAAGGGGGTGGCAGCGGGGGGAATCGTGCGTGCATGCGCGGGGGACGCGGGGGGGGGGGTGTCCACATGCATTGCATACTCGGTGCTGGCACGCAAGCGCGTGCACAATTTTTGGCACAAGAGCCCAAAAGGGCTTCGCCATCACCGGTGTAGGGTTTCCTGCCTGAGCAGTGGGCTGGACTAGAAGATCTTCAAGGTCCCTCCCAACTCTGCTATTCTTCTCTCCTGTTTTATTCCATTGTGACATCATTGCATAAACAGGATGTTCCCTCTCTTGTTCCTCAGAGGAAGCCCAACAGACCCCGAAAGGTGAGCCCTTACGGCGAGTGGCAGCAGGTGAACCCTGAGGGGCAACAGGTGAACCCCGAGAAGTCTAGCCGCAAGAAGAAGTCATCCGTTCCAGCAGAAACCTCCTCGTCTTCGTCGCAGAAGCCCGTCTCTTTCGGCAAATGGGAGGAAATCACGGAAGAAGATTCATTGTACGTCCTGCTTTATATCTCCCCGGAAGCCAGTGACCACTTGATTTGCGCAGCGGGACACTGAGAATAAGCCCAGGGTCTGAATTACGTTGCATTTCTTCTCTTTTTTTTTCCTTTTTTCCCCTGGTTCCTGGTTAATAGTTACAGTATGAAGTGAGGTGGCTGAAGACGTTTTGGTCTCTGCAAGGAACTTGCTTAGTAGGTGGGCACAGCGGGACACCTGTGCGTTTGTGCCATATCTTTACAATACCAACCTGCCTAAGCAGTTACTGCGGTAGGGCAGATGGGTGGTTTAGAAAGAGTAGGGGGTGGGAGAGGAGAGGAATGTAATGGCGGGGAGATACAGAGAGAGACAGATAATAGAAATAAACAGAGAGAGAGAGAGAGAGAGAATGAAATAGACGATATAGTGTTAGATAGTGATAGATAATAGAGTTAGATAAGAGATAGACAGATGATAGATATAAACAGATGAGAGAGAGAGAGATGAAATAGATGATAGAGATAGATAGTGATAGATAATAGAGATAGATAAGAGAGAGATGAGAGAGAGATGAAATAGATGGTAGGAATAGACAGATAGAGAGTGATAGACAGATAATAGAGGTAAACAGATGATAGAGATAGTCAGACGATAGATAGATAATGATAGACAGATGGTGGATGGATTGACAATGACCTATCTTATAAACACAGACATATAAACTATTGAGAGAGATTAAAAGTAAAAAACATTTGAAAAATTGGGAGAGTAGGGCATTAGATGGAGGAAACAGACATTTAAAACACACTTCAGACCTACACTTCAGGCTGATTTACTCATCAGGTTTGACATCCAACTGGACTTAATTTCGCTTTAATGAACAGAGGATGTTAAAAGCAAATTCCCATTTTATTTTTTTACATGTAAGTTTGGTTCTTTTCACTGACTTCTTTTACCTACACCTGCTCGTGTGCCATACTTCAAAGATTTTAAATCTCTGGGCAGAACAAGAGGGGAAAACAGGAGTTTTCATTTTATGCGCAACGGCAGATAACGGGCAGGATTTCGTTCTCGTCGTTCCAGTGAGAAGCTTTTTATGCGAGAAGATAACTTTTTTATTGAGCAAGATAACTTTGTACACCACCCAGAGTGACTCGTGGGAGGGAGACAGGCGGTCTCTAAATGTGATAAACAAATTTTGTGTCCAAAATAACTCCCCCCCCCACCCTTCTGATATCTGCCATTATTAATAGCTAGAGCTATGCAAACCTCTCTCTGCAGGTTCTAAAATTGGTGAAATTTGCTGGTCGCAAATCTTCTTTCTGTTTTCAGGAGACACTTGAGTTAAATGCCTTTTATGTACGGCCAGGCCAGTTCGTACCTGAGCCAGTTTTATTTATTTTCAAATAGCTTTTGTTCAACCAACTTCTCATTTTCCTTTAGCGAGAAGGTCGACTTGGAGCTTCCAAACAAGGAGATCAACAGCGCTCCAGTTGTAGAAGTGCCGGAAGATGCCAAAGTAATCTTCAAAGAGAAAACAGTCACTTCGCTCGGCGAGGCAACGGAAGAGATGCCGGTTTTCAGAAAACGGAAATTTGAAAACGGGAAATCTCGAAACTTTCGACAGAGGCTGAGCGATCACTAACGTCCTGGCTGCATTGTCAACAAGACAAGAAACAAAAGGACGCCGGGAAAATATGGAACTGTTTAAAAAAGAATTCCTTTACAAGACTGACTCTAAAAGCAATTTTTAGAGATCGTTGTTTTTTTTCCAAACAATGTCTCGGGTGTAAAATGTACAGAATATTTCTTTTCTTCCACCCACCTACCCCTCAAGCGTTGTTATTTTAGTTTGCTGGGTTTCTTCTTTTCCCCCTTTATGGGGCCATGTAAATACAGTATTTTTTAAATCGCGGGTCAAAGGCAGTTCAGTGTAGCTTACAAACAAGCGTATTGTCGTGAATCCTTTTCCAAGAAAAATAAATGCGGTAATTCCTTAAGGATGTCTTTGTAAGTTTTAGCGCAGTGGTGGCTAACCTTTTTGGGCTCCTGTGCCAAACACTGCGTGAGCATCAGCACACACACACTCACGTGCCAGCACCCAGAATGCAATGTGCACGCCCCTCCCCAGGTACAATCTTCCCTCTCTCCCACCACCCCCTTACCTGCACTGCGCTCACAGCTGTTTTTTTCGGCTGGTTTGAAGCCTTTTTTTTTGGCCTCCCAGTGGCTTGGAAAAAGCCTCTGCAAGGCTTTTCAGGCAGAATTATAGGCCCGTTTTGTCACTTCCAGCATTACAGGTCGAAACTCTCCTTGATTCAGTTTCCATCCATTATTCCTTGTCTGGCCTTCAGGTGCCTTGAAAAATAGCTTGACCCTTTCCTCTTTGTGGCAGCCCCTCAAATATTGGAAGGCTGCTCTCCTGTCTCCCCTGGTCCTTCTCTTCGCTAGACTAGCCAGGCCCAGTTCCTGCAGCCGTTCTTCATGTTTTAGTCTCCAGTCCCCTCATCGTCCTGGTTGCTCTTCCCTGTACTTTTCCTAGAGTCTCAACATCTTTTTTATAATGTGATCAAAACTGGATGCAGTACTCTAGGTGTGGTCTTACTAATGCTTTATAAAGTGGTATTAGTACCTCACTTGATCTCGATTGTATCCCCGTTAATTAGGATTGCATTAGCTTTTTTGGCTGCTGGTGCACATGGCTGGCTCCTATTTAGCTGGTTGTCCACTAAGACTCCGAGATCCCTCTCCCAGTTCCTGCTATTGAGCCTGGTTTCACCCAGTCTATATGTGTCCTTGTGGTTTTTCTTGCCTAAGTGCAGGACTTTACTTTTCTCTACATTGAATTTCATTTTATTAGATATGGCCCAGTGTTCTAGTCTGTCTGGATCTTGAGCCTATCTTCTTGGGTGTTAGCTATTCCTGCCAGCTTAGTATCATCTGCAAATTTGGTAAGTTCCCCTTCTATTCCCTCATCTAAGTCATTAATGAAGATATTGAAGAGTACTGGGCCTAAGATGGAACCTTGTGGTACCCCACTGCTTACTTCCCTCCATGCAGACTTAGACCCATTAAGGACTACTCGTTGAGTATGGTTTGCCAGCCAGTTGCGAATCCATCTAGTGGTGGTGCTATCTATTCCACTTTTTTCTAGCTTACTAAGAAGTAGGTTGTGGTCTACTTTATCGAATGCCTTGCTGAAATCTAAATATATTATGTCCACAGTATTTTGCTGGTCTACTAATTTAGTCACTATGTTGAAAAATGAAATAAGATTGGTTTGGCATGATCTATTTTTAACAAACCCATGCTGACTGTTAGTTATAACCTTACTTGTTTCTAGATGTTGGCAGATCTTTTTCCAGTATCTTCCTGGGTATTGATGTTAGGCTGATTGATCCGTATTTTCCTGGGTCTGTTTTTTTTTTCCTTTTTTGAAGATGGGAACCACATCAGCTCTTTTCCAGTCCTCTGGTAGTTTCCCCGGTGCTCCAGGATTTTTGGTGCAGTGGTTCTGAGATGACTTCTGACAGCTCTAGAACTCTAGGGTGTAATCTGTCAGGTCCCAGTGGTTTGTGTTCATTGAGATCAAACAGGTGTTTTTGCTTATTTTAACTTTTATTTCTAGTCTGTATTTTACAGTTACGTTTTTGGTAGATTGGGCTATAGTTTCTTGCTGCGTGATATCCAAATACAGCATTTAACAGCATCATGGTCTGTGGCAGAGAGGAGTGATAAGTATTGCACTACACTTGGTTACAACCAACTTAGTGTTCAGAAGCTAATTGAAGATTAGGTTTCAAGGAAGATGAACCGTTTCACTTCAAAAGTGTAGAACCAAAAGTGATAAAACTAACCAGGGAGGAAAAGGGACAGCTGCTTTTTAAAAAAGAAAAGCATTTTTTAAAAATAGATTTTTAATAATAATAAAATAATCCAATACAAGCATTTAAAATATATGTCCGGTTTCCTTCACAGCCCAAATAAGTAAGTCCTCTTGTAGATTCCAAGGCTTCAGACCCTTGGAAAGGGATTTCTTACCACCAAGGAAAGCATAGCTAATAATCAGCAGAACTGCGTGGAAATGGCTTTAAGTAACCACGTTTCCAACTATAATTTTCTGCCTTCATTAGTTATGCAAAACACACATCAACCCAGTTTTCTGAATAGAATAGAATAGAATAGAATAGAATAGAATAGAATAGAATACTTTATTGACCTTATTAAAGGTAACATTGCAGCATACTTTCAAGACTAATCTTTGGAGTAAGAAATGCACAGGTTGAGCCAAGCATATTCTGTTTGGAAAAAAAGTAAGATGATAGCCTTGATCAAAAGAGTAACCCAGGAGCAGTGGGTACTGGCTTGATATCTCTGGTCTGCCATGGGTTATAATTTCTATTTCCCATGCCATTTAACTACGAATGGAATGTTTAGCCCATCGTTTGGCAGTAGTGATACTGCAGCTTCAAAAATAATGCATGCAACATTCAACTCTCTAACTTGATCTTCAATAGAAACACTGAAGCCATGTTTCATTATGAGTTTGGCAGAGTTACAACTCTAAAGAAAAGATTTCGACAACCCAGAACGGTCCATTTATGCTGGAACTGCAACTATATTAAACATCACTTTTGACAAGTCACAGGGACAATGTGCCATGAATGACATCAAACAGGCAGGACACTCTGGATTTCTCCAAACCTTGCAATTCTGGTGGCTCTAGATGCAACATGACATACAGCAGTGGTCGCCAACCAGGGGGCCGGGGACCACTGGCAGTCCGCGAGAAAATTTTGGTGGTCCGCAGAGAAATGTCACCCCCCCAAAGCAATTGATCCAGGCTGCGCCACCCACACGGCCAGTGGGAACACAAGGCTTGTGTCGCATTGTAAACAAGACGAGTGAGGAAAGGGGGAAACCTGTCGGCCACCTAGCTGCTTTTTTCCACTTCTTTCTTCTTCTGCTTTTGGCTGCACTCAAGGAAAGCAGCAAAAGTCTCTTTCTCTCCCTCAAACTCCACTAGAAATTAGTCTTTGGGACCCTGCAAGGCATCCTGCTCCAACAGGCTGTGCCAGAAAAGACTCATTTCTGGCGGAGTTTGGAGGAGAGAAAGACTTCTGGTGCTTTTGCTGTTTTCCTTGCAAGAAGCCAAAAGTCTCTCTCTCTCTCTCTCTCTCTCCACTCCTGAGAACGGAGCTGGAGATGGTATCCTGTGATCCCAAATAAAGAACGATCGATTGGTAGGAAAACGGGGTGGGGAATTTTCCTGCATACTTTTTGGGGGGATTTTCCCGGGGTCTCTGGTCCGCGGGATATAAAATTAAGAGTTTGGTGGTCCCCTGAGGTCCAAAAGTTTGGCGACCCCTGACATAGTGGACTATGTCAAAAGTTGTCCAGTCTGCACAACCACAAAACCCTGCTCAGGGAAAACCTGTGGTCTTTTACAATCCATGGCTGACCCAACCCAGCCCTGAGAGGAGATAGCCATGGATTTTCTTGTGGAGCTTCCGGAGAGCAATGGTTAAACTGTCATACAAGCCACGCCCCAGATTACCATCGCAAATTAGCTAAACTGTTCCTCACGCATATCTATCACCTCCACGGCATGCCGTGGAGAATAATTTCAGATGGGGGGGTACAGTTCACAGCTAAATTCTGGTGGGACTTTGTTCGAAGGATGGGGTCCTCTCGGGGGTCTAAGCTCGGCATTTCACTCGAGTACTAACGGGGCCACGGAGAGAACCAATGCCATAATGGAAAGATATCTTAGGTCCTATATCACCTACAAGCAAACCAATTGGACAGAACCCATGCCATTTGCGGAGGTGGTGTCATGCCCCCGTTGAAATCTGATTCTAAGGGGGAGGTCGAGCAGCTGACAGGGAGCGGGAATGTGGTTCCATTGGCTGTGGAGGAAACTGGGGAAGGGCAAAGTCAGGCTGGGCAGAGCAGGGGAGCGGTAGAACAAGGGAGAGGGGGTTCAGAGGAAGACCCAGGCCCACCCCCTCTTCATCCTAGGGCTCGCAGGGAGGAATGGATAAGGGAGCAACCTGGGTTACTGGGGAGAAAAAGGCCCTGATTCCCTTCATTAGCTGCAGCTGGGAAAACAGGGTGTTTGCACACAGAACCTTGCTGGAAACAAAGCGTGAATTATCTTTGTTTGTCAAGTCTTATCTGGGTTCTGGCGTCCTCCCAACTATGTGTTTCATTATCTTTTGAAGTCTGCAATTCCTTATCCTGCCCTGTCTGGTTAATTGTTGCAGCGTGGTTTGTGTTGGTTTTTATTTATAATTTAGATGTACTTTGGGTTTGGACTGAATTTCTTCCCTTTAAAAACTGTTCTTGGGAGAGTTTATTTTTTTTCTCCAGATGATGATAACTAGACATTGGAGGCCAAGTTGGAGGAATTAAAGGGACTTTACCTACTTTTGTGACTTGGTTGCTTTTGTGCCATGCTCCTTTGGATCATCACAGGTGGCATATAACAATGTTGTCCAGAGCATACAGGTTTTACTCTCTTCAGGGTGGTAAACAGAATAGACTTAGTTCCTCTACCTGAATACCCCCGAGAAGCTCTTTTCCCGGTTAGCCCAAAAGATAGAAACCTTGCAAGGGGTATGGGAAGCCGTGAAGTGGCCTCAAAGGAAAGCAACTGAAAGCCAGAAGGTACAGGCAGACAGGAAACAGGCCCTGCAGAAGCTGTTCCAGGTGGGGGGCAGGGGTACCTGTCAACCAAACACCTGAAATTGAAGGTTCCCTGCCGGAAACGGAACGCAAAGTTCATGGGCTCATTCCTCATCGTGCAGGAAATCAACCCTGTGATCGTGGAGCTGAAATTACCCCATTTCTGTTGGGAAAGGTGCATCCTGTGTTTCACAGCGTCTTAAAACCTGTGGGTGTTGTGGTTCAACGGCAGCAGGTGCGGATGGCTGAGGTCTCAGAGCGTGAGGACTCAGATGAGGGACCTGCATGTGATGCAGGGATGGGGCCAGGACTATCAGAGTAGAAAGCCGCCTTTGGAGATTGTGGAGGCTGGCAGCAGTGATGAAGAGGTCCCCGAGGAGCCTGCGCCCAGTGTATGTGTGCATGCAGGGCTGCTCGAAGGAAAGAGCAGCTGCAGCAGCACGGGCGACTCGGGAGTAAGGCTGGAAGGTGATGGCCCCTCCCATAAGGGATAAAAGCCAGCCCTCGGGGTTGGGTTCTTTGCAGGAAGCAAAGAAATTCTTTCAACTCCTAGTTCTTGTGGAAATCCTGTCTATTCTGCTTTGTTTTCAGAGACTTTTGGTTTTGGATATTTCCCTGCAGTTAATCTTATGTTTTTGGGCAGCCTTTTGCAACCTTGAAAGCGCTTTGCTCTTATCTGGGACAATTAGTTTTGAATGACTCTTTGCTGGGAATGAACAGAATCCACAGAGACGCATTAAAAAGGTTTGCTTTTATATATACTTTGTGTTTATTTGATTTGAACGAGCCTTGGGTCAGAACAGTAGGAGAGTCCTCCATATGACCAAGGCTGCCACCATCACCTGGCCCTATGCCAGTGGGGGGGGGGGGGGGGACCTATTAAGGGACCGACCAGGTATTGGATTCCCAGTTACATAGGGGCTACCTACAGTACCTGGTCCGATGGAAAGGCTATCCCGTCACATAGGCCTCCTGGGTAGTGAGCAGGGATGTACGGGATGCCTGCTTAAGAAGTCCCATAAAGACCATCCAGGGGGGAGAGGAACGCAGGAAGTCAGGTATAGTGGTTTGCCAACGTTTATGCCCACTGCTTCTGTTTACTGTCTTCCAGGTGTGGCCCTGTTAAAGGGGAACCTCCTGTCAAACTGGGGGGGGGGGCAGGATAGGAACCCCTGCACTGGTGCTGGCTGAAGGGTTTCTGCCATCCAGAGCAGCGGGGAGCCAAAGGCCAGGTGGCTGGTGGGGAGGTGGGGCATCGCGAACCAAGAGCAACTGCTACAAGCTTCCAGGAGGCAGAGGGCAAGCCGACAGTCAGCTGTTTGACGGGCCCCCATGGACTGGACGAATGGAGGCTAATTGCCCCCGCCAAAGAACAGCTGAGAAGACCAGGCAAGGACCGTGAAAGCGGAAGGGCGTGGCCCTCCTCCTCCTCTCCTGGATAACATGCATTGTGAGGAGGAATCTCCCCGTGCTGACATTACATCCATTTGCTTCTTGACACTCATTGGGTACCAGAGTCTGGCTCATTCAATCCAGTAAGCCTCCAAATGCGTGGTGTTAATTACTGGTTTAGGCCCGGAGCTCGGACCTTTTGAGAGCTGCTTCAGAAATGGCAAGATGATATCCTAGCGTTATTTTTTAATCGAAAGGTCAAATGTGGTCTTTTCATTTAGCATTCATTTTCTCACTTTTAACAATTGTACCAAAGAAACGGCGAATGAGATGTTCGTGATAAAATCCTTTGCAAGACTTCCCTCTGCGATATCAAAAGCAGAGAAGAAATGCAGCACACAATTCTAGCAAGAAACCAGCAAGAATAATGTTTCTAAGTTGTAGAATCTCAACTGCAAAAAGTATTCAACAATCCATCGAATAAAATCGTCAAAACAGAGGGGTGAAAAAGTTCTGGCGGGTAAAATGGCTTTGTGGGATAATTGATGCTTACTAAACGACAGGATCCTTGGTTTGCACTGATGATGTTGCCAGGTTGGGTCATGAAATGTCTGCAAGAAAAGCACCTCACAGTTTAACCCTGAACTACAAATATTCTGTCCTGCCCCTGTTGGAATCTGATTCCGGGAGAGAGGTCACAGCAGCTGACAGGGAGTGGGAGTGTGTCTCCGATGGCTGTGGAGGAAACGAGGGAAGGGCACAGTCTGGCTGGGCCTTCAGAGGAAGACTCAGGCCCACCCCCCTCTGCATCTTAGGGAACGCTGGGAGGAACAGAAAAGGGAGCAACGTTGGCTTACGGGGGAGGAAAGGGCCCTGATTCCCTTCATTAGCTGCAGCTGGGAAAACAGGATTTAAAAAGGGCGTTTGCGCACAGCGCCTTGCTGGAAGCAAAGCGTGCATTATCTTGATTTGACGAGTCTTATCTGGGTTCTGGCATCCTCCCAACTGTCTGTTTTGTTATCTTTTGAAGTCTGCAATTCCTTATCCTGCCCTGTCTCGTTAATTGCCGCAGCCTGGTTTGTGTTGGTTTTTATTTATAGTTTAGATGTACTTTGGGTTCAGACTGAATTTCTTCCCTTTAAAAACTGTTCTTGGGAGAGTTTTTCTCTCCAGCAGATGATAACTGGACATTGGGGGCCAAGTTGGAGGCATTAAAGGGACTTTAGCTACTTTTGTGACTTTGGTGCTTTTGTGACACGCCCCTTTGGGTCATCACATATTCTCTTCTACTGGTACTTACTAAACCACAAAACAGATAGAAGTTCATGCAATTTCCAAGTTTGGCACAGATTTCCTGAAATATCTCCCCTCTGCTGTCACATTGTTCTACTCCATTCACTCATATTCCTAAAGATTCTGAGGCACTGTTTTGGCAATTCAGTATGTAGATAAAATCTGCCTAAGCAAGGGACTTTTCACGTAGGACTACTCCAAACACAAGTCTCACCAAGCAATCACAGTAAGGGGAAAAATAAAGGTAGAACGATTATTTCTTGCCATATCCCTTAGGATTTTAAACCCATCTTAGCCATCATTTGTTCATAGAGAGTCCAGGCCATTGCTGCCATCAGCGTGCGCCGCAAAGCTCGTGGAACAGCACCATGGAAAAAGCCAGCCAGTCCATAAGTCTGTAAAAAAAATAATAACCATCATCATCTTCTTAAACATCAGTTCTGGATGATAGTTATTCAAGGTTTATCTTTAACCAAAGATGGAAATAGAAACTACTATATAGAAGTCACTTGATCATCCTGTGATAGAATGGGTTAACAATATTTTTTATTTATTAATTTTTTGCCATCTTACCACATACTGCGTTTCTCACAAAATAATGCCGGGCCTTATTTTATTTTTTTTTGACCCCCGAAAAAATGGCTAGGCCGTCTTTTGCGGGGGGGGTCCTTTATTTCCCCCCCCCTTTGCATCCTCGGGCGGGCGGTGACGGCTTGGATGTTGACTTCGCCGTTGGTGGGGCACTTCGTATCAGGAGACCCTCCGCCACTGTTGCTTTCCCTTCTCCCCGTGCTGCCGCGGTGTTTAGAGCAACGCCGCAGTGTTTGGCGCAGCCATGCGCGGCCAACCAGGCCTCCTCCCTGCAGCGGAGCTCTCGCCAAGGCAGCGAGCGCCTCCCTGTCGGGCCCTTCGCTCATCCCGCCAGGGCCATGCCAGAGCCAGGCAGGCTGGGCAGAGCCAGGAAAGCGAGCCGTGGGTGCGCGCCCGCCTGCCAAGCCAAAGAGCCAGGCTGACCCTAGCTTGCCTTCCTTCCCTAGTCCCTCCAGGCTGAACCTGAAGGGCCCACTGGGAGAGGCCACCCGAGACAGTGATAGCACCCACCCTTCCGCGGACAAGGAGGCGAGACGATGGCCTGCGCCATGTCCTCCTCCGAGCTGAGCCCTGCCGAGTGAGCGCCTCTGCCTGATGCCTGTGCCGCTGCAGCGTTTGGAGCTGCCAGCGCATTTGGAGCTGCGTGGGGATGGGGACAGGGTGGGCAAGGGGTGGAAAGGATGGGCGGCTTTGGGCTCTCTCCAGCGGACCCACTGGCCAGGGAAGCAGCGCTGCCGTCGCCTCGCCTCCCTGTCCGCGGATGGGTGGGCGTTATCACTGCCTCGGGCGGCCTCTCCCGATGGGTCCTTCGGGTTCAGGCTGGAGGGACTTGGGAAGGAAGCCAAGCTCACGTCGGCCTGGCTCTTTCGCTTGGCAGGTCATGAGGGCCTACCTATCATACCCGCCAGGCATGAGGGCCCGCCTGTCAGCTGCGCTGGGCACCCCAGGTGAAGCTCTTCACGCTCTGCCTGGCGCCAGGCAGAGACGGTGGCTGGGCGCTTCTCCCAGGGTGGGCCGATCCTGCGCTGCGGCCCCGGGAGATTCGCCTCCCCACATGGAGTTGGGCTGTCCTCTCGGGGAGGGTTTGTCGTACCAGTAGTAGGGCGTCGTTTTTAAAAGAATTGGTTTTGCCTTCGAAGGCGAAGGGAAGGCGGCCACAGGAGTGCCTGAAGCCAAGTGTCTCCGCCGGGCTCCAGTTGCAGGGAGGAACCCTGGCTGGCTGCGCATGGCGTTGCTCTAAACGCCGCAGCAGCACGGGAAGAAGGGAAAGCAACAGTGGCGGAAGGTCTCCTGATACGAAGTGCCCCACCAACGCCGAAGTCAACGCAGGCAGCACCATATTTGGGTATGCAACAAAAGTACTTCCTAGCGGCAAGGCCCCCCCCCTGCCATTCCCCCCCATGTCACATGTTTAATATAGGCCTTAATTTGGTGGGAGGGGCTAAATTTGATTGTATGCCTATAAAACATGCTGGGACTTCCTATTGGGGGAGGCCGTATTGTCGGAGAAACCCGGTATGTCAAAACTATGTATCTATTTCTTCTAAGAGGACGCAACTTCATCCAAATCGATCCAATCAATCCAATCAATCAATCCTTCATCCAACAAATTTCCCATTCCAGGTATTATCCGCCTCAACCTAGTATCGAGGTAACATTTGAGAATATACTCTTGATTGACATACTACAAAGAACTGTCACAAGCATATCGATTAATTCTCAAATCCCTAATGGCCCCACACTCTACCCTGATTTCACTGGGATGTGAAATAGCATTAAACATAAAAATGTGAATAAAAGATCAACGGGAGTTATGCTTCCTCTGTTTCTTTTCCAAAAGAGATCATTTATCAAGAAACCATGGCTCTTCCGTCCCAAAAACCAGAACGAAGACAGTTTAAGTGATTTATGTTCTGAAACTATAAATTAAATAATTTATGTCCTATAACCCTTACTGGGAATCAAATAGCGCTCTAGTGGTTTTGGGTTTGCACCTAAGATGCCTTTTACTATTGGTATTCTTTTTTATTTCTTTTGCCACGATTATTCTACTTTTATTTGCAGATCTTTGTATTTTGTGATTTTCTTCAGGGTTTTTTTTAAAAATCTTTTATTTTGATGCCTCTATGTATTGCCATGTCTATTATGCAGACTTTGTTTTTCTTATCAAAATGGTTAAATCTGGGCTTGCAGGTGCTTTTCTGTTTGAATTCTAAAGTCGCAGCTTCTTCATTTTCAATTACTTTGCCCCTTGTGGTTCCATCAGTTCTCGCTTATAGAAAATGATATTTCTTGCCAAAATTCCAATGCATCCATCACTGTGGCTACTATTGTCCTGCTGGTGTCTGTAGTCCATCTGTGCTATTTTCTTGCAACAGCTAACAAGGTGGCCCACTGTTTCTTCAGCTTCTTAGCAGAGGTGGCATTTGCTGTCTCCGTCTGTCTTCTCGATTCTGGTTTTGTATGCATTTCATTTTAAGGCTTAGTATTGGGGTATCCGTCTCTTTCTTCAACTTTTCTGCTCTTAGCCCTTGCCAAGTCTTGGGCTGTGTATTTTGCCTGCTTTTTTTTTCTTTTTTTTAATCCTGGCTGTCCTTGGAGTTATCTGAGCTTGGAGACAGGCAAAAGACGAGCAGAGCACGTTCACGAATACCCCGCCAGCAATCCGAAGACACAAAGAAAACTCCTCCATTTCACAACACAGCGTTAACTCAAGTTTCAACTGGGAAACTATGAACAGCCTAGATCAAACTACATCCCAAAATGCTAGGGGATTCTTGGAAGCTTGTCATTAAGACAAGTCAGCCATCAACAGGCGCATATTATACATTTATGCATCATTCAAAACAGACAGTGAAAAGCTAAAAAGATTTTTTTTAGAATACCTCCTCGCCAGGAATTAATATCCAGATAACCAGGGATTAACACCGGTAGCAACATTAAATAAACCATCAACCAGTAAACAATATCCTAATTAGGAATTGCCAACTCAGACAAACAATCAAGCAGTGAATAGTCTAATTAAGGAGAAAAGAGAAAAGAGAATCCCATCAACACGAATGGGCAAAATACTGTATACAACAAATATAGCAAGATAATATAAAGGAGAACAAATCCTATTCCCTTCCGACACTTAGGATGTTATCTAGCCTGATAATGAAGTATCTGCATTAAAATAACCGATCTCAGAAAGCACCAAGGACTTCACAATTCCACCCTGACATACTGTATTTTCCGGACTCTAAGGCACACCGGATCGTAAGATGCACTTAGAAGGAAAAGAAGAACAAAAAATAGTTTTTGTCTCTCTGATGTCCAAAAACCACTCTGCAGGTGTTCTGACCCAAATTTTGTTCCAAGGAAACAAACGCCAAATGGAGGTGACAGTAAAACCTTTCAATGATTCTTTACGAATTCCATTCCTTCACGGTTAAAAGGCTGTTTCAAACTAATTGTCTCTGATAAGAACGAGCCTTGCCAAGGTGGTGCAAGGCTGCCAAGAACACTAGATAAAGTTGCTATGGAATATTTCAAACACCAATCAAGTCTCCAAATGTCTCCAATCACCAATCAAGATACTCCGAATGTCCACAAGACTTGAGTGCAAAAACTTCTTTGCTTCCTGCAAAGAACTGCAGTTTCTCAGCTGGCTTTTATCTCTTAAGGGAGGGGCCATTACCTTGCAGCCTTACTCCCGAGTCGCCCGTGCTGCTGCAGCTGATCTTTTCTTTGAGCAGCCCTGCGTGCACGCACACTGGGCACAGGCTCCTCAGGGGCCTCTTCATCACTGCTACTAGCCTTCACAATCTCTGAAGGCTCTCCGATAGTCCTGGCCCCATCCCCGCATCACACGCAGGCCCCTCATTTGAGTCCTCACTCTCTGAGACCTCAGCCGTCCGCACCTGCTGCCAGCAAATCACAACAGCAGGCCAAAAAGGGGCCCGTTGTTGGCCTCTGGAGGCCTCCGTAGGTTCCATTTTTGCCCTCCTGGGGAAGCCAAAAACAGGATGTGCGGAGGCCTCCTGTTCTGACCCAAGCCTCATTCGAATCAAACAAACACAAATTGTTCATAAAAACAAACCTCTTTTTTACTCCGGCGCTGTGAATTCTACGCATTCAGAGCCAAGAATAATTTCAAATTAATTGTCCCAGATAAGAGCCGGCCCTTTCAAGGTTGAGAAAGGCTGCCAAGAACGAAAGACTAATTGCAGATAGATATCCAAAGCCAGAAGTTTCCAAAAACAAACCGGAGGACGAGAACTCCGAGCATAAAGAACTACTTTGCTTCCTGCAAAGAAGCCAACCCCGAAGGCTAGCTTTTATCCCTTATGGGAAGGGCCATCACCTTCCAGCCTTACTCCCGAGTCGCCTTTCCTTGCGCACACGCGCACTGAGCACAGGCTCCCTGGGTCCCTCTTTGTCACTGTTGCCAGACTCCACAACCTCCGAAGGCAGCACCCCACTGTCCGATAGTCTTGGCCCATCCCTGCATCACATGCAGGCCCTTCATCCGAATCCTCGCTGTCAGAGACCTCAGCCGTCCGTACCTGCTGCTGGTGAACCATAACACTTCCAGAGGCTAAAAACTAGCCTGTTTTGGCCTGCAGAGTGCTTCTGGACACCAGGGAGGACAAAACTAGGACCCGCAGAGGGTCTGGGAGGCCCTAAACAGGCCCATATTAGCTATATAAGACACACAGACATTTCACCCACTTTTGGGGGGTGGGGGAGTATTGTCTTATAGTCCCAAAAATACGGTGTGTGTGTGTGTGTGTGTGTATAAATACAATACACCATGGCAGTCATGGTGATAATTAGTTTCCTTGAAGGGTTCCTCTCTTTTTGGACAAAGTCTAAATTGTATCAAAAGCAATTGCAATCCCACAATAGAACAGGAACCAACACTATGCTTCAGAATGCTAATTGTTAATTAATGGAGGTAATTGGACTAAGCTATAGTATTCACAACTTCACTGTGCCAAGAGACATCAGATCTGTCACAGCAAGAAGAGAATGCTGGATTAAATTAGCCCTTGATCTTACCTCCTTATGCTGTTGGCACCGATATCTAATCATTGCAAAATCCTGCTGATATTAACGTAGGAATACTTTTTCAGAAACATGATGAAAATGAAGTCAGCTATCAGGTTATTTTAATTAAGGAATATTTCGCTGCTGGTAATTTAAGAGCCAAAATAGTGTTAACTACTTAATGCATTCAGCCTTACCCTAAATATTAAGGCAATAGTCTGGCGAGTCTGAAGGTATTTTTCAGATGACAGTTGCATGTGTGTTTTGATGACATCAGCAGGCTGAGTAGCTAATGAGGCCAGAATTCCAGCCACAGTTCCGCAACCAAAGTTCTTAAGTGGTGCAACTGTTGTATCTAGTTGGCCTGGAAAACAGCAAGCAAACCCATAAAGTTGTTTTATAATTAATTGCTCCGAAGAATAAGTAGAACCAAATCCTTTACGTCACATCATAGGCAAGACTAATTTAGAGTCAGTGTTTTAGAAAACCCAACATTCAAACTGAAAAGGAGTATAACTGGAAAATGAAGTGAAGATGGATTTCGGAAGGCCCTGAACTACACGCCAAAATTATGACAATCCTAGCAAAAGGTTCAATGTTTTGAAAATGGCAAAACTACTGCAAACATTTGAACATACAGTAGTATCATGTTTGCTTCACTCCTATTTATGTAGTTAAGATAAAAAAAAAATTCTTTTCAGCATCATTTTCCTCTTACATTCACCAGCTGTGATTAGGTACACAAACAAGAAACAAATTAAACTCCAGAAAGTTATTTGACAATTCGGTTTAAATTTACATTATTAATTCTACATTCCTGAAAAATAACTGTTATAAAATTTCTAATATTGCTTGAACATAAAGATCAATATTAGAGTCAAAGGAAATACAGGTATCTCCTTTTTTCAACCTCTAAACAGCATGTCTTGTGTGAGAATTATTATGTTTAAAGCATTCAAACTGAAACACGATTAATTTTTACATTCTTTATACCAAGCCACTCATTCTTCCCAATGGCTAAAAGATTCACGGATCCAGAATTATTATGCTACAAAAACAAAGGTTATGATTTAGAACACCAAAGAGAAGCATAACCTGTGTGGACTCAAAGAATATTCAGTTTTGGGCAATTTCAAATTTAAGAACAATTACAAGGTACTGGTTTTATGGAACAAACGACATATAAAAAGGACATTTAAAGATAAAGACGTAAACGATTTCTTGCCACAAAATCTCATAAGGAAACTATTTCATCGATCCTAAATGCTACAGAAGAAGCCACAGAACCTGTTCACTTACCATATGATGCAAGCTTTTGGGTCTGTGTGTAGAACATCAGATAGATGCCAGAAAAAGGGGCGTCTCGAAGAAGTGTTGCTGACAGGCCACTAAACAAACCCCGGGCTCCTTCTGACCGATAGATATTTCTCAAGGCTCCATACACACTTTCATAGCTGTATTTTCCACTCTGTCAATCAAAAGTAATTTATCAAAGTGAACATTTTACTACGAAAGCACAGGTGAACTTCTGCCAAACCTTAAAATACATACGGAGCAGAAAAAAGTTCTACGTTACAAACTATCATATTGGAACCATTATATATGGAAGCAATTTGTTACGTTAGAAGGATTTATATCAGAGATGTTTACAAAATCATGACTTTAATATACCTGACTGTTTCTGATATTGTTAAGCTTATTCTATGGTGATTTTTTTTTAGTTGGTGCTATAAGTTGCTTAGAGTTGGAAAGAGTAAAGTAACACAAAAGGATTAGAAGTATATAAATAAAATTTTCCAATCAGAAAGTAAATAATTCCTCACCTCATATCGTGTTTTTACTACTGTGATGGGTAACATACAAATAACAGCTACAGTTCGTGAAGTTGCACCCAAAAGAACGGATTCCAAAGCAGTAGGAGAGCGTTCCCAGAAAAAATGATGTTTTATCATATATAAGGTGCTGAAGTAAATCCCAACCCCTGGAATGCATCGTGCAAAGGACTGCAAAGAGATGACAAGCAGAATACACAAAGAGAGAAAAGACAATCATGCAAAGAGACAAACCTAAGGATATTTATTGGCAATTTTTTTAATGTTTATTTCAAAAGAAGTGAGGCACAATATAGATTTTTCCCAATTGAATGATGTTGCATTTCATACAAGAAACTCAAGAAAGTTGTATGAGGTACGATAGGCTGGGCATTGGCCAAAGGCAACTTGTCTAAAGTCATTTCATCAGCTCCAAAAGTGAAGTGAAGATTTGAACTTCCACGGTCTTTAGCTCTAATCAGATATTTCAGCTCCTGTATCTAAATTTCACGCTTCAAAAACCAGGGCACTTTTGTCACAATGGCCTTAATCAAACTAAAGGAATCACAGAAGACGTGAGTGAGGAAAAATTGCCACTGCACCTTTGGGAAAGAGAATACTAATCAATTCTTTTAACAATAGGTATGATCAAATAAAGCAGCATTGGAATCTTAATCACCAGAGAGATATGTTCCCATATTGTGATTAAATGGGTACTAATGTCAAATGAATTACACTTCCATATATAATCCAAATAACCAGAAATTTATGTTCGTGAGAAACAGCTGAAACATTCTGTGGCCACGTTCACTCAGCGTGTGGTCTAAAAGTTGGTTAGACTGTAGCTTAAGAGTATGGCAGGAACCTGGCCATTGTTTCAGCATAAAAGAACCTGGTTTATAATGGTTTCCTCTGATCACATATAGTTTACTTGGATCTCTACGTCACCTGAGCATTCACTTTCAGACTTCCAAATTCTATTTTGAAAGCTCTAGGGCCACTTGGCTCAACAATGTTCAAAGAAATGTTACTTTGAGCCACGGTTGGATATATTCCTGAGCTGGTTGCTACTAGCTTTTAGTGGCAAGGATTAAGGTTTCTTATGGATTCGAGTCAAAAGAAGCTCACTCCAAAAAATCCAATTCAAGCAAAAAAGAAAAGAAAAGGTCACACTACTTATTAGAGACAACTCACTGGAGAAGCCCCTTTCCACAGCCCAAATATGCTTTCTGTATGAACAACTTTGAAGAGTAGAGGTATCATCTTAACACGACCTGATCTGTGGGGGAAAAATATATATTAGATATTAGGAACAGGTGAAGCTCAACAACCATTTATTACAGCTTCTCCACCGGGGGACCTTCTGAATAACAGCCTCCTTACCCCACTATCCCCCCCCCCAACTCCATAAATACCACCAGCAAACGTACTGGCTGTAATTATGAGATTGAAAGTTTAACCCCACTGGAAGGCTCCCAGTTCAGAAACATTCTCTACCGAAATAGTTGATACCATATGCAAGCCGTTCTTGAAACCCAGCAACCTCTATATGCACTGAGACCATAATGTAATTCCTATCCAGCATTGGTAAAGATCCACTGGAGACCAAGACATTTTTTTCTGAAGTTAAAATGACAGTTTTTAATCTACTGATTCCCAATACTACCACTGGGGAAAAATGCAAATTTTGGCTGTTTATTCCACTACAAGCAACCATGTAGAGAAACTATCTTCCTGAATTTAGGTGTAACTCAGATGTGCTAGCTAAACGTTTTTCTCTTTGCACAATTGAGTTGAGATTCATCACTAAAGCCAGCCTGTACCCAGGCAAGGCATAACACCAACTTTTCCTATAAGAAACTGCAATAGCCCTTAGACTTATATACCGCTTCACAATGCTTTTACAGCCCTCTCTGAGCAGTTTACAGTCAACATTTTGCTCCGAGTTCTCATTTTACCAAACTCAGAAGGATGAAAGGCTGAATCAACGTTGAGCCGTTAGGATTAAACTCCTGAACATTGGCAGAGTCAACCTGCAATACTGAATTCTAACCGTTGCACCACCAGGACTTCTAACGCATAGCTTTTATTCAGTAAAACCCAAATATGGATGTTTTCGCTTGGAAAACCATGTAAAACCTAGGACTGTACTTTGCCTGTCTCGTTGTTATATCAGTTTCACCCTTTCCCGTCTTGATTTTAGCCCAGAGCTTTTAAGGCCAACAGCCAGAAGAATCTCCAGTAAGTATTTGAGATACTCGCCCGCTGACAGTTGACTGCAAAGTCTGCAGCCTAGTTTTAAGCAAGTCAAGAGGCTGGAAGAGCAGCGTGGAGCAGGTTCCACTGATTGAACCACAAAAAAAGGCTTTTAGTACAGGGTGCATCTGCGAAGAAAAACAAACAAAATTAGATTATATGCACAGTCAAAAATTAAAGCTATACATTTTTTTACTAACCGTATTCCAGACTTTCTAGTCATAAAGATTAGATTAGGTAATATTTAATAAGTTTAAGTAATGCCGCTATAGAGCCCTGCACATCAGAACAACTAGACACAAGGACAGTTTTTCCCAAATGCCATCACTCTGCTAAATAAATAATTCCCTCAATACTGTCCAACTATTTACAAAGTCTGCACTACTATTACTATTAATCTTCTCATCACTTCTTATCACCCATCCCCTCCCACTTGTGACTGTATGACTGCAACCTTGTCGCTTACTATTTATATTGACTGTTTCCTAGTATGATTTGATTGCCCTATGACTATCATTAAATGTTGTACCTGATGATTCTTGACTCTTGATGAAGATATCTTTTCTTTTATGTACACTATAGCGTCGTTTTGAGGGAAGCAGTTGAAACAATTTATGCCCAGGATGTGAGGGGTACGTAAATATTTTCACAGCCCTCTTTTTGACTCATGCAGTATGCAGGTCCTCCATGGAAGGCAGGTTGGTAGTAATTTTTTTTTCTGCAGTCCTAATGACTCTCTGGAGTCTGTGTCTGTCTTGTTGGGTTGCGGAACCAAACCAGACAGTTATAGAGTGGCACACCGTGACCAACAGCCTAGGGCCTTGCGTAGCTGGCCAAGCCGCGGTGATCGCTTGTAGGGCGGCCGTTGTGCTTCCGAAGCCCACGGCGCTCCTTCCTGCCACCCAGCCTCGCCCCGGGGAAGGAAGAGGAACAGCTGGGTCCAGTGCCTCGATGCGCAGAAGGCAGAGGAAAGGAAAAGAAAGCAGTGGAAATCTATGGGACGGTCCTTGGGACGAAAGAGCCACTGCTGCTAGCAAAGCCCCACCACTAGCTCTGGGGATAAAAGGCAGGGGACAGAAATGAATAGATGTGACAGACAACTAATCATCTCCCAGCCGGATGGACTTGTTAGCCTGCTGTGCGAGAGAGAAACATTGTGCTGGGGTCCTGGTGTTCCTAAATAAAGGAATCCTTGATTTAAATACAGAGGGTTTGTCATGTTTAGGGAGCTGGGTCATAACACACATAAACCGAATGGCATTCTCCATCTCTGATCATCCCAAAGTTGACCCAGATAATTTCAGTACCAAAGTCAAACGGTCACCAAAGAAACAGTTGCAAGTTGAGAACTACCTGTATTTTTATGGACTCTTTACGTTCGTGTCAAGGGAAGCTACTGGAAAGAAGCGAAGGATTGGGAATGATGGTTCTTCTGTTTGATAGCATCGGGGTCCTACCTGCCTTCAATCCGAGCCTTTTCAAGTCTTCTTGATAAGCCTTCGTGGCCGCTTCCTCCATGGCTGCAAAGTCCTTTGCCATTTTTTCGTCCTCTTTCGCCTTGTCCAAGCTTTTCTGTTTAATCTGTAATTTAAAAAGAGGAGGGAGCAGGAATGCGTGACGCAGGGTTTCAAACAACAACATTCCCTTCAGCTTGAAGGAGGTGGCTTTGCGTTACCTCGCTAATTTTCTTCGCCACATTTTCCTTGTGGTTCTTTTCTGTTTCGTGGAAATCGATGCTCTGTTAAAAAGAAAGAAAAAAGGATTCCTAAACTAAAGAAAAATTAAACTTTACAACTATGTGTAAGATACTGAAGGCATTACATCTCCCTGAGGCAGCTGAGGTAAATATTTCAACCTTCAAATCCTGTCTGAAGAACGTCTATCCTGTCAAAGAACCTGACCAGGAATGGTTTCAACTGTAATCAAATCAATGATATTTTATTTCTGCAGGCACTTTAGGTGATTTTAAAAGATGCCCTAAACCGTATAAATTTGTATGAGGAGTTTTTGAGCTTTTAAATAAAGGTGTCACTGAAAAGAACAAGCAAGGTTCCAAATTTAACCCCAACAATCCAGATCCAACTAAATCTGAAGATATAAAACATTAAACACATAGGCATTAGTTTATATTGCCTGCATTTATTCTACTCCGCCAGCCACAGGAAAAAGGCTGAGAAACAAAAAACATATCAAATGTTGACCCTCTGGTGAAACTTAAATTTAAAATGTTATAATCCAAATCCCAGAAACTTAGATTTAATCAGAAGTCCATCGTACCGGTTCGTTGTCTGTAATCCAGCACTTGCAATAATCACAGAATTTCTTGGGCTGAGATTTCCAGTAATCGGCCCTGAAAAAAAAGATATTGGAAAGAAAACTATAGGACTTTTTAAAAATAAGAAAAAGATCTAATGGTCGGTCCATCAAGTTTATTTGCCCTTTGACTTTACCTGTTTTTTTGTTTTCTTTTAAATTAATTAAAAAGTATGCATGTATGTATGCATATGAACACACACACACATATAATTTTTCTCAGATGTGATGTTGTGATGAACGTGTATTTATCCCAAGCATGTTTAAACTCAGTTTTTGATCGATTGACCTACTATCTCTACCAGAAATTGGTTCCAAGCTTCAGCTGCTTTTTCTGTAAAGCCATACTTTCTAACATGACTTTTGAACTTCCTTCCTGTCAGTTTCAGGTTGCGCCTCTATGTTCTTGATTTTTGCTTAATATTGAAAATACTGTACTTGTTATGTATTGTACTGTATTATGTTAGGCTGTTATTAATTATATTATGTTACTCTGTTAGAGTGTGTTAATAGCAATATACAAAACACTAATGCTCTAATGGTCATTTGAAAAAATCCTTTCTTAGTGAGCACCTAGAAGCCAAGAGGAACATACGTGCTAAATTTCAAGTTTGTAGGCTTGACGGTTCTGGAGATTTTGTGATGATGCGCGAGTGGTCTTTTGCTTTTATATATATATAGATTATAATTATATGTATATTAGGCTGTTTATTATGTTACATTATATTTATATATGATACATTACATTACATTACAACACATCACATCATATAATATTATATTAGGCTAATATGTTATATTAGGCTGTTGTTATATATTATGTTAATTTTATATTAGGCAGTTATATTAGGGTATTAGGTTATATTAGCATTTATTATATTTATATTATATGATGTATTACATTATATCACATCATATAATACAATTATATTAGGCTATTATATTGTGTTATGTTATATCAGGTTGTTGTTACATATTATGTTAATATTATATTAGGTGTTACATTAGGCTATATTAGGCTTTTATTATATGTATGTTATATATATATAAAACATACTAATTGTATTGTTATATTACCTTATATTTACATATTACTATCACATATCATAGGTCAACTAAACTAGATTATGAAACAATTGTAATCATAAATACATTATTCTATTATAAAACCACTGAAAGAAGCTTATCCATTATATTAATATGTTAGGTTTTTGTTATATTTATGTTAATTACATTTATAATACATGTATATGACATTATATCACATCATATAATAGAATTATATTAGATAATTATATTGTGTGATGTTATGTTATATTAGGCTATTATATATTATGTTAATATTAGGCTATGATATTATGTTACATTAGGCTATATATATATATATACATACACACACACACACATACATACACACTCACACATGTACATATATACATATACATA